CAGGGAGGGCACGGAGAATCCACAGGAGCTTTAGCCGCAGACAACGAGACCCTCCCTCCAAAGACCTTCCCTCCACACCGTGTCATAGACCTGCTTCAGGTCCACAAATGACTAATTAAAAACATGGAGGTAAGTTATACTCCCAGCTTTGGTCCAGTACCGCTCGGCGCATTAAGATTTAGACGATGCAGGAGCAAGCAGGACGAAAAATGCCTTGTTCTTGAGTCAGCTCCATCTGCTCCTGCAGCCGGTCCAGTAACACCTTTGTGTTTTTGGACTGGCACCACATTTGGCAAACTCACGACCCGGCAGTTTCCGCACTGGGGAAGGTTCCATTTTTTTGATGAAGAGGGATCATTCCGTCTTCCACACAATCTGGAAAAGCTGTTGCCTTGGTGAGTCAGTCAAACGTCAGTTCTGCTGCAATACTCTGACACTGACAACACGACTTCCCCTCACACTCTTAGAAGCTCAACTTCATTCGTAGATAGTGGGGCAACCCAGTTCTCAGGGATATCTGATGGGAGCTCCTCCAAGACCACCCTGTCCTTGCGGAAGGTAAGATTAAGAAAGGTGGTAACATTTTTCACCATCTTTCCTCTCGTTGACCAAGTGTCGCGAGGACCCTGATGGTCGTAACACCTCAGAACTTAAAGCGGAACAATTCGCTAGCGTTTTTCCTTGTCGACTTTCATATTCTGTTTCCATAGAGGCAGCATATGTGAGGAGCAATATACTCCGTGGTTTACGTAAGGCTCGCAACTTGACGTATATATTAATACGTTATGTATTAGACATATATTAATGAGATTTAGATACATAAGACTGGGCTCACCATGCACGCCACAAAGATATCGCTTGCCTCGGTGAATTTGCTGCTTACGCGACTTCACGCACGTGTTTGTTCTCGATGACTCAGGCATCGGCCAACGCCCTCAACTCCCGCGAGCGAGCGTTTTATGTTAGCGTTTGGCGGCACCTTCCTCCCCTCGAGAATTTCGCTTTGACAGCGAGTTTCGATCCTGCTATTTCCTCGAATAGCTTCTTGCACCATCTAGAGATGCTTTCGATCATGTTGCGTCCGCTGTGGCGTATACCTTCCGTATTCGCCCTACAAAAGTATTTTGAAAATCTTGGCCTTTAGTACGAACTGGAATTGGAATTCTGTTCTCTTGGGTCTTCAGTCTTATGAATAAAGAATGTAATGTTAACGCACACAAGAACTTTTCATTGACGTATATGAAAGTTGCTGTAATTTCCAGGTCGAACGAGCGCCTGCTTTCAAAGTGAAGGGAAAATGCACTAGTGATTTGTCGAGCTTCAGCTACAGCATTTTTCTACTGTAGGCCTTTTCTGCAGTCTGTCGAATTTATTTTGGAATTAATGGTGATACGTCTGGGAGTTAAACCGACGGGACCGCGGGAAAAGTGTGAACTTCCACGAACGATCCACAATAATCAGTCTCTGTGGAGATGGCAGACGATGTGTGTTTTAACGTGCCACTTGACACGTTGGTCTAGAGGTGTCGTGTCGGCTTCGACAAGCATGAGACCATGTTTTAATGTTTATCGCAATTTATGGAGTACCGATTACGCGCCGTACGTGTTCAGTTCAAGAAACGGAGTGTTACACTGTTCGTACTGTATATGCAGTACACCGTGAAAGGGAAGATGTAATGACAAGAAGGTTCCGAGTGTTGTAGCTTTTTAACGCATTCTTTAGAAGCCCAAATGCCAGCACCTTGCCATTTTTTACCCCCCCCCCCCCCCCCCAAACTTCCTGTCTCTGTTCCATGATTGAAAAAAAAACGTGGCAACAGGGAATGCAATTTAGAAGCCAGCGCCGGGACGAAAATAATACTGAGGCCGCTGCTCTCTGCAATCTCCCACTCTCCCTCCTCCCTCTTTTTCCGTCCTTCCCCCCCCCCCCCTTCTCGCTGCATTCCCCTCTGTTTTCTTTTCACCAGCCCCTTCCTTTCTCCTCTCTCTCTCTCTCTCGCTCTCGCTCGTTCTCTCTCTCTCTCTCGCTCTCAGGATATTATCCCCCTATGTCTGGCTGTATGCCACGTTGCCTCCCCTCTCTAGCGTCTGATAGGCTGACGTCATCTTGCCGGTTGGCTGACGTCGCGAAGGATCTGCCGGGTGCATTCTCTCACGCACTGCCGGTCCCAGCAGATCTCTCCTGTCTCCTCGACTCTTGTGGTTCTAGGCCATATTCCTGCTTCATCTCATTCACCCCATAAAAGGTTGGCTCTTCTTTGTTGTAAATGTTGAATGAACAGATTTACTGCTGCCACAACCCCCGTCTCCTTTTCTACGTGAGGGGAATGAACACAGGCCTATCGGTTTCCGTTGGGAATGAGAAACGAGTGGTAGGCATACTCATGAAGGAAACGCCCATTTCGATTCGCCTCCCAACAGGAGACCTTCAATGCCCTCTCGGAAAAGTACAAACACGGGGTAGAATTTTCAAAGCCTGATGCAGATTAGTAGGTACAAGTCCATGCTCTTGGAGTTAGTGGCTACAAAGCTTCGTCTCGCTTTGTGAGGCGCGCGATTCGTGATGATGCTAAAAAGTAATCTCCCTAACACGTGTACTACTTAGTGGGAATGCCATGGAAGCCGGCCGGCTGGGCGAGACGATCCCGTCGAATCCCCACCCTCCAATCGATTTCGTGCTAGGCCTATATCTATACGAGCATGTGTGGAGGGGTCTCTCAGCCTCCATCTTTTATGTGGATGCAGAGCAAGAGTCGGTAGTGACTGTTTCGCCTTGTGTCGGGTGGTTGTCATCGGCCTTAACTGTGATTCAGGGAGGAATGATACAGTGATAAGCGATGGCGTGCTGCCCGCCTTTTATGAAGAGTACTGGTGCCGAAAACGAGGAGGATCCGGAGCCGAACCCCCCCGCTCGACAGGAACAGCAAGACGATGCTGTGGGTGCTCCCGAAGCCCAGGAATCGTAGGTCTCACCCCCTCCTTCGGGACCAGGCTGAGGAAATTGGGCGTCAGCCAACATTTCTTAACCTGCCAAACGTGAATGTAAATACGGTACGAGCAACTCGAAGCTGAGTTCGTTATACCAGTACGCGTCGCCAAATAATCGCGAGCCAACGAGTTTACCCCATAGGTTAGGCGTACCTTTAAAGAAGTTCCCTAACGGTTGTAGCTGCTGTTCGCTTTTATTTTTAAATTTTTAAATGTTATTGCTTGTTTCGGTTTTCTTGGGGAATATTTGTGTCGGAAGGAAGAGGAAAGGTTTGACCAGAGACCAAAAGAATTGACCAGAATACGCATTAGAGGAAGCCGCGTTTATTATTCACCATGCATGGAATTTGAAAAGTGGTCAAATAGATTCAATCTAATTCTACATATATTGCCTATAGTTTTAACAGGAGGAAACACCCATGGTCAGAATCTCCAAGGTGATTAGCCTAGAATGCAGGAAGGAGGTAGTAGCTCCTGCTCACTTCATTAGCTCTTTTCATCGGTCGCAGTATGTATGGTGCTTTTCCAATCGATTTCATCCCCTCCATAGGTTTTTAGAGAGGGTATCCTCAGTTGAAGAGTCCACCCCCTTGTGTTGAAGTACATCCCCTTTTGTTTCGCGTTACCTGTCGTGTCTGTTAGGCCTGTATATGAAATGAGTTGGGATGGGGAAGGAGATTCCATTAGTCTTCCCATGTTTAAGTCAAGAGCTAGATGAGAGAAGCCGCATTACCGCTTAAGAAACTCCCTCAGTTTGCATAATGATTTCTTCCCATGAATGTACTCCTTTGTCTGCTTTGTCAGACTAGGATGTTGCAGAGGAAGATTCGAAGACTCCTGAAGAGTCTTCGAACGGGGCAAGTCAGCTAAGCCTACATGATTTCTGTTGCATCTGCTGACGATTCCGGAAACACCAAATATTGTGAGGAGAGATCGCAGCTTCATTTGATTCCCGAACCGTCCGCTTCCATTTCATTTTTTTTTTTTACTTTAGAGCTGAAAGGTTAGACCTTTCATGACCTTGGAAAAGCGAAAGGAGGTACAGTTTTGGCTGTCTTGCCAAATACCAATGGATTCTAATGAGTTGCCAAGGTGAACTTGAATTTGGCAAGCACCCCTCGTAGACAGTTGAGGCACTGGTGCAATTTTGTGTATGGTCATTGATCATGTTTCAGACATTTTGCGCGACTAATATTAGTATTTATCTCCTATCTGGGATCAGGCATCTTCGAAGCTGCAGGGAGACGAATTTGATATGAGTCGTCGTTGCATAATCCTGATTAACAGACAAGGTCCTGGCGTCATGGGGCGAACTGCTTCGAGTGCTATATATAAACCTCCTTTCCAACAAAGTTTCTTGACTGAATCCTGGCTGGGGCAGATGAGCGAGGTGTTGGCACGTTAGCCCACCCTAATCCTTCCACTTGGAATCTTTTTAAATATACGTACTGCCTTTTTTCTATGCCGATGAGATTTATTTGTGGGTAAAGTTATGTGCATCCTTGGACTCTGTTTCAACATGGCATTTTTTAGGCAGCAGTATTCCATGACTTGCGATAGGCGAGACACAGAGGACACGTAGGCAGGTCAGACAGAAAACATCAGTACTGGTTTTCTCGACGTTATTTGAATAATGGATGGAGAAGCAGTACAGATAAATAAATTGTTGCCACTATCAAACTCCTGATCGGCGTTTAATTCACCCGGTGCTGCGGATGTCAAAGGCCTTCTGTGGCCACAAACGTAGGTCGATGAGGAGACGTCTTGTCTGAACGTTTCACGAATGTCTTGTACTCAAAGGACTCTCTGTCATGGACATTGTAAATGTGCCCACGTCGAATGCCTTCATGGCAGACGAGGCGATTGTAGTTTCCGTCAAGTATAAGTGGTTGTAGTTTCCGTCAAGTAGTGCTTGGACTAGGCAGGGGCCGTACTTGTCAAGAGGTCTCTCACTCATGAATTGTATGGGGACTTGCTTGACTAAGTACGCAGACATTTGTGTTTAAATTCCTAATGAAGATGTAAGGGTTCGGACATTCATTCATTAGTGATGCCACCCGGGAGCACGAAATCCTGAACTCGGTGAAGCCATGCCGTCCCTTTTGCTGTCAGATTCTTTAGGAATAACAAAGTTGCCCTCAAAACAGATTCAGCCAAGGAAGCTGGAACATCAGAATGAATACCTCCAGTATGGATAGTGCAATCTATGTTAGAAGGAAACTGTATCAGATATCCCAAACTCCAGTTCCTGGTCTGATTCTTTGAACGATGCATATGGGTATGCACTTATGAAAATTCATGGCTGCCAGTGATCGTAATGTATTTAACATGATTTTTTAATTTAAAAAAATGTAGACCCTTCTCTTTTCCACAGAGGAAATCAACGCAAATTTTTTAAATACCTGTCGGCCGATGGTAGGCCTGGCAGTAAGATTTATTTGTATTTTCTTCTCCCTATAGTTGTTATTGCTCTGGTGGAGTCATGAAGAAATAGCAATAGTTATGGTGCCAAGCATTTCATTGTGGTTTCTTCAATAATTCAGAAGCTTTCTTTGGTTGAATATCATTTTAGGACTGGGGGAAGGGGCTGGGGGATTTGAGGGATACTAAGACAAATGAGCAAAGTTGGGAAGAAGTCCATATTGCAAGTCTCATTAGATTATCCTCATAGTATCACTGGCTGAAACTGAAGTCATGCAAGCTTCAAATGTGATGCATGCAATTCTAGTCCTTTTTTTCTCTTTCCCATGCATGTGCATTCATGCAAGGATTATATACAATCAATGTAGATATTTGGGGGGTGGGGAAACATTGCAAAAGAATGCAACTTTTTATGAGATTAAATAATTACAGATGAAAGATTCTAGGAACTCATGTTGAATCGTTGTGATGTATTTATGATGTGAAATTATAGAACACCACTTCAACAAATTTTCCCCATGGCCTGACCCTTGTCCATTGCAGAAGTGAATCTTGATGGTGCCAAAGTTTAGGGTCTCAGTGACAAGCAATGAGCAGGGACCCAATGAACTTTCCCTGTGGTAATAAGTAAAAGTAAATTAAAGTGATTCATGAGGAAAGGTGAAAGGAAGAGAAATTGACGAGTTCCAGCTATTCTCTCAGCCTTGCAGTGCAGGAATTCAGCATCAATAATTCACCTCCACCATTATAGACCTTAGACAGGGGTCTGGCCTAAATGGTAACCCTGGAAATAGTTTTCCTCCCTTTTGCATGATGCAATTGATATCCCATTTGAGGAATAATCATTTGTGGTGCTGAAGAGTCCCCATTATGGTCTGGGATATCTCACCTTCCTGTAGGAGGAATGCATCACTTGGTCAATCTGTTTATTAGATCACAGCCTCACATTTAACCCTTTGTGGTCCAACCTCATCCCCGGGATGAAATTGATAAAACTGCAATTTCGTCCTATCTTATCCCCAGGATGAAAAAACTTACACACAATCTCTCAGGTCCTATATCAGCAGTTATTATTTACATAAGGCCAGTTTATCCAGGGCAATGCTGTGGAGAGCGTTGAGTCAAAGTTGTCGCGTTATGATAATAATTTTGCTCAATGAAACAATGCTATTCTTTTGTGTGTTTATAAGCATTATTTTTACTTTATCAGATGGCTAGAAATTACTCAATTGAAATAGAAATAATAAAACCTCATTTGAACCTATTTCAATAAAAAACTGTAAAAAAATTAGACTTTTTGGCCTGCAAAACTTAAAAATAATAGGACTGCAAAGGGTTAATGTAGAACATAGAAGTGAGCAAAATATTGCTAAAAAGTTTACATTTTACCAGTCATAGTTATATATCATGAGCGATTCCCAAGAAAAAAGTCCAAGTTTATTTATTTAATTGTACTCTTGTATGATTCTCACTTGAAGAATTCTCACGTGATTCTCACATTGCAAAGATCCTGGACATTGGTTTGTGATGGCATTGCCAGTCCAAGGTGAGGCATTTTTGTAATGTTAACTATAGGAGCCTGAAGGGCCACAATGCTGCAGGCCATCATGAATTTGGGAAAGACACAGCATAAAAGGAGCACAACAGAAGACAACAGTTAGGTTGATGGAAGGCATTTGCAACCATGGAAGAATGCAGTGAAAACTACTGTATGCCATATATCCATCTTTGATGTCATTTCTGTCTTGCAGGCCAAAGAGAAACATGGTTGACGCAGCAACTTTGGAAAAGCTTGAGGCTGGTTTCAAGAAATTGCAGGATGCCACCAATTGCCACTCTTTGTTGAAGAAGCACTTGTCGAAGGATGTGTTCGATCAACTGAAGGACAAAAAGACTAAGCTTGGTGCAACTCTGCTTGATGTGATCCAGTCTGGTAAGCCCCATGCATATTGCATACAATATGCCACAAGTGAGCTCAAAATATTTCTCATGTTGATATGCATGAGGAAAGGTTCATAGACCTGAGCCTCTTGGGTGCTGATGGTTTTGTATACCTCTTATTTAAAGTTTTCATTCCTGCTCTTGGAGATGCAACTGGCAATTTGAAATCTAAAGTGACTCGTCAGCATGCAAAACTAAAGCTGTGAAACTGTTCAGATGAAAATTTTGGAGAGATCCAGGCTAGCCATTGTGGTGTTCTTTCTATGGTTCTGACTTGTCTCTGCAGGTGTTGCCAATTTGGACAGTGGGGTTGGAGTGTATGCCCCAGATGCAGAAGCCTACTCTTTGTTTGCCCCATTGTTTGACCCCATCATTGAAGAGTATCACAAGGGCTTCAAGAAGACTGACACGCACCCTCCATGTGACTTTGGTGATGTGGAAACCCTGAGCAATGTGGATCCTAAGGGAGAGTTTGTCATTTCAACCCGAGTACGGTGCGGACGATCCCTTGTGGTAAGCAATTGTCTTCTCATACTGAATTGCAATTTGTATGTACTCTGTGTTAGATCCACTCTTATTCCTGTTCAGTTACTTTTCTTCTGTCTGCATTTTTATTACTGTCTCATGCAGTTTAGATCTCAGTGTGTTTTAAGCTCTGATGAGCTAGACATTTTAGTATGAAAACATCTCTATTTTTTCTTGTAGAGTGGATCTCAAAATCTGAAAACAGTCATCTCCTAAGTTAGCAAAGTTGGATTGAGTGTAATTGAATTCAAAGATCAGAAGGGATGGAGAAGTGCACATTCATATGCATTGCCTAGACAGTAAGGGATAATTGAGTGGTAGCGCACCTTAGAAGGAGTCTGTACCAGATACCTATCTAAAGCTGGACTGTCTTCATTGAAACCCTTTTAATGAGAGGATTGCAGCCTTCAGCAGCTGAGAAAAGCAGCCTGATATTACTTTTTAAAATTGAATTTTATTGCTTATGTGTTTATAGGGATATCCATTCAACCCATGCCTGACAGAAGCACAATACAAGGAAATGGAGAGTAAGGTATCATCCACTTTGGTAGGCCTGCCAGGGGAACTGAAGGGCACTTACTATCCTCTAACTGGAATGGGCAAAGATGTTCAGCAGAAGCTCATTGATGATCACTTCCTCTTCAAAGAAGGAGACAGATTTCTTCAGGTATGGATCCAGGACTGAGACTGAGGTCTTTTTCAATAGGTTATCTAACTGTGTTGTTCTAGTCACATCCATTTCAAGCCCTTTCATGCTGCCATTTAAATTGCTGTTATATTTAATCCACCTGAGCTCAATTAAATCAGTGACTAAAGTTAATAGTAAGTGTTGTTTTATGACAACATCCATTTGCATAGTTTTTTTTTTTCTACTTTAGGTAGTGTTTCTCAATAGGTTTTGAAACCATTATGGAGATATGTATTATGGGGGGAAAGGGGCTGGGAATTTTTGAGTTAGTATTAGTTTGATCTGATTAAATTGACACTTCTCACAAGCTAATGGAAACCAGAAAGCAGCAAGTAGAAAAAGCTGGGAATTTTGAAATTGCTGGTGGCTTGACATCTGACATCAGGTGTCGAATCATTTATGAATGAGATAAAGGAAAGGGGGGGGGGGTGTCATTACTTTGGCAATTTTGATATCTCAATGTAATTCTTCCTAGTATATCTGAGGATGAAGGAACTTCATTTTTTGGCTGTAAGAACTCATTGACTGTCATTTGTATTTGCCATCCTTTGCTCAGCATTCAAAATCACTGGTCTGAAATGTCTGTACTGCTAAATCCAGGCTGCTAATGCTTGCCGATACTGGCCGGCTGGCCGAGGGATTTACCACAATGACAACAAGACCTTCTTGGTTTGGGTGAATGAAGAAGATCATTTGAGGATCATCTCCATGCAAATGGGAGGAGACCTGAAGCAGGTGAGCCTTTGAATCCATGTTAATTAAGCAAGAGTGCCCTAAAAATTAAGAAATCACTGCAGGGGAAAGAGTTGTTCCTTCAACTGTCTACCATGTGGCCATTTATAATCAATGGATGTGAGGCCAGATTTCAAGAAGAGTTCTAGTAAAGGGTTTACATTTCTCTTGTCTAAGCAGTCATTGCCTAAGTCTTGCATTTACATCAAGTAAGCCACAAAGTATGTGCCCAATGTTATGTTGAATGTATGCATATATTATACTGCATAAATAAACAATGTTTAAAATAAATTTTTAAAATTATGCCAAGTTGTTTTTTAGAATATTTATTGTAAATATTCAACCAGCCCAGTTATTTTCAACTCCACATATGAATAGATATAAAGTTCATGCCAAACTTGAAGGAAATTGACATTGCATCATGTGCTACTCCAGTTCAAACTTATGATTAAAAAAATGCACCAGACATCCCCACTGATGTGTCTGCCTCAACTGGTATAGTGAACTGTTGAAGAGGTGAGAGCACTTGTTTTAAGCCAAGTGAATAATCCATGGAGCCACCAAACAAAGGGAGATCTTGAGGCATTGTTATATCCCTTTCAACAGTACACTGAATCATCAAGAATCATTGAGAAAAAATGCTTTAATAAAGTGTTTACTGCTAGAGCGGGTTGTTTGAAGCAGAGCATCATCAATGAAGCAAATCTGGAATGGCAATAGTGGCTGCGTGCTTGTGTCCAAGAACATGGAAGCCATTTTGATCCCAAGCTGTTTGGATATCTTTAAAATTCAGCAAAAACTTTCCAATATATTTCCACATTCTGTGTTAAAAAAAAAAACTGCCAAATTGTTTTTGATAATAACAAAAGCATATACTGGACCAGCCCAATTTTTTTTTTAACACCATGTACATGGGATACATTATAATGAGAATGTATGCAAAATATTTTCTGGAATTAATACTAGCTTGCTAATGCTTAAGTAATCTTGAAGCTTGGGTCTTTAAGTTGAAGTATCACCCTATTTACTTTGTCTCAAGAGCAGAAACCTGACTATTTCCCAACATCCATTTTTATTGTGTATCTATACCAGAATGCACTGCAACTCCATGGCTAGAAGCAGTAGCTTCAGATTGAGAGGGTTATTTATTTATTTATTTATTTAAAAGGTGTTTAGCCGCCTTAAGACTGCTGTGGGTGAGATTGAGAAGCGCCTGCCTTTCTCCCATCATGACCGCCTGGGATTTTTGACATTTTGCCCAACTAATTTGGGTACCACTCTTCGTGCTTCAGTGCACATCAAGCTGCCCAAGTTGGCTTCTGATCGGAAGAAGCTGGAGGATATTGCCGATAAATATAATCTGCAGGTGAGATTATTAGTCATCAACATGCCATTTTCTCCACTGTCTTACTACCAGAGCTGTTATTCTTGTCATACTTGAGCATTGGTTGACATAAGACGTTTTATCACTGCTTTGGTTGAATCTGCATGCAACTGTGTTTTTCTCTAAATAAAAAAGGAGTTCAGTAGCTAGTGACAATGAAGGCCTGGAAAAGTGTAAGATCTAAGTAAATTGAAGAAAAAATTAAACTAATGGTTCTGAGTTAAAATTGATAGATATTACGAAAAAAATTTATAAATACAAAATGAAATTTATAAAATATTTGAGTTCTTTCAAAGCATTGAGAGGAGGAAAGAAACTTACTGGTTTTTGACGATGCTCATAGGTGAGAGGCACACGAGGGGAACACACAGAAGCTGAAGGTGGTGTCTATGACATCAGCAACAAGAGGAGAATGGGACTGACAGAGTACCAGGCCGTGAAGGAGATGCATGACGGAATCCTGGAAATGATCAAGATGGAGAAGGCCATGTAAAAATGATAATTGCTCTGTGGCAGTTGAGCTGGTGTGAAACCACTCTACTGACCACTACTGCATCAGTGAAGGAAAATTAGTAGGAAATTCAGATTAAAGTAATCCTCTCCTTGGCATCTTCAGGGTTTCTCATTTGCAAATTTTCTGTCCCTCAATCAAACAAACTTTCCCCACCCAACAATAGCTTGTTTTCCCTTCTATGATTGTGCTGTGGAGTTTGGCAGTAAAAGGAAGAGAGAATCCCCACAATTTTATTCCTTTCAGAACACTCATTACTGCACATGCCATCATTGTATTTTGTTGTACATTTTTATTGATGGCAGAAGAGAATTATGTTTGGAGGTGGACTGTTTGTCTCCAAAATAGATCGTTGGGACAGCTGGTGATAAAGAGCAGGAAACTTGTTTTATGGCATCTGCTAGTAGTTCTCATTTATTGTGTTTGAGTTTATCAACCTTTAAGTCCATAAAGCTAACCGTATTTTGCCATTCCAGCTACTGATCAGTGATTACTCCATTGAGTTAAGTCAATGTAACCACTTCAAATCAATTTACCATGTAGTCTCTGACTCAAAGGCTGACCGATGACCACCGATAGGTTGACGGAAACCGATAGAATCCGATAGAGGTCATACGAACTTGAAAGTTATTTTTGAGCTCCAAGCGCTGATATTACTACTTGGAATATCGTTTGGAGAGCCAATTACAATTTGTCAATTATATGCAGAGATGTACCAGAATTAACCAATTATTGTACATACACAACGAGGACAACCATTCCTTGCTGACGTCATCAAAACTTGAGAGGTTCGTATTCACCAACAAAAGAAAGTGCCGATTTGGGCATTTCGCTCGCAGTCCTCTCTCTCCTCCACACAGTACTCTCTCGAAAAACGTTTAAGTGAATACATTAGGTTTTGCACAACCCATCAGAACCGACAATTTTTCGGTCAGATTGCGTGTTAAGAAGTGTTGCACCCAACTACCAAATTGTATTCATGGAACACTTGAAGCTTGAGTACCACCCTAAGATCGCACAGACGAATAACTATGGCAACCGACACAGGTGTACCTTAATGGTCATCACCATGGCAACCGTTACGGAGAGGAGAATTCTGTGTTCATGTTCCTGAATCTTTTGAAGTTAAGTATTGCTAATGGATAGGCTAATTGATTGGGAGACCTTTTCCAAATTGTATGCTTGTTAATATCACTGCAACTACCATCCCCTCCAGTGCACGCTGATCAATTTGATTACGGAATGGGTGACACCTCGTTGCTTCCTTGCATTAAGATTCAAAGTTGTAGACGTGCGAACGAACTTCGCATGACCTTCATTCCCGGATGACGTGCCTTGAACCAGAGTGAATTGGGCTAGAGCCAAGGTTTAGAGGAGAGAAAGATGATATTACTGACTTGATAGGAGCAGAAAGCGCTCGGGAGAGGGGTTGAAGGGCTGGCACAGGGTAAAAGGAGAGGAAAGTCCCTTCTCGCTTTATCTTCTTATCGTCGACCTTTCATCCTCTTAACGGCGCCGACGAAGATGAATCAAACTGGCGCTTTACCAAAGTACACCAGCGATCGTAGTTAATCTGTAGAAATCTGGGAAAAGTAAAACGAAGGAGGTTAATTTAAAGCATTCTACCCAAGCACATAGATTTCGATCAGAAAACTTTATTTCCTTCCTAACCTAAAAACCTTAAGTTGACACTCCGGGTTTCCTTAATTTCGATACATATCGTTCTGGAAGGATCGCCATTCCTCTAATGTTTTACGCGGATGTCATTAGCTGCTGTCGCGAAAAAAAAAAAAAAATTTCGGGATCACCGAAACTCCTAACAGCGAACCGCACTTCCTGTGAACAGAGGGTGGCATCAAGACATAACGCTGCTTTTTGAGAATCCCGATTTCATTCTATGGATGAAATTTATTGCATTAATCCCAAGTTACAACGCCTATCCCCAAAATATGCCCTCCGTCGTCACCAGACGCTTTCCCTGCGTGGAGCGAGAAATTAACACGTTGACGACCAGCCTATTTTTGCTTGTCCGCCGCGTGGGACCACGCGCATTTTTTTTGTTGTCAAAAAATGCGTCCTGCCATCAGGACACATGGTCCCAGAAAACATTTTTTTGCCGAGTTTCTTTAAAATGTTGAATTATTTTGAATTTTTATCAGTAATTACGAAATCATAATCTTCTGGAACGTTCTCAACAGTTCCAGAGGGTATTCATTGAAAATGAAATCTGCATCCTGGCATCAGGACGCATTGTCGCCAACGTGTTAAACACGAACGTAAGGCTGCAGCTGTGGGGAAGAATGAAAGGAAACATCCGAGTTGTCAAGTCTGACGGTTTCCATGCAGAGTTTCTTCTCCACTCACGACGTCAACTTTTTTTTTCTCGTGTCATTTTCAAGACATGATGCATTGCCATCATTTATTCTCCTCTTCGCCCCCTGATAAGTGGAGACGAAGTAGGGGTCACGTCGAAAAAGGCAGTGTGGTACTCGGGAAAAGTTGGAACCGTTGCACTGAGGAAACAGTAGAACGGCATTTCGGGAAACTCAGCTACATGCTTCCACGAAGGGATGAAGAGTACATAAGGAGTACGGCACCTATATTCGTTTTTTCAGCCTTTGCTAAACTTCTAGGTCAGCGTGAACATTTATCCATATCGTCGCATCGATCATATTTGTAGCTTTTATGAGCTGTGTGGAATAACTAGCATTTCCATGCAATTTGCTTGAGCCAAATGATAGAATACATTTCTCGAACCGATTAAATTGGTTCAAAAAACGATCAAGAAATAAGGATACAACAACCCACGGAGATTCCACGTTTCCGAGTTCCTAGAATTTATTGCATGTTACATCGGAAGCACATACGCTCCCCGACGTGTTACCTGTGCTGAGCTTCCGCAACGGCCAACAAGGATGAGCGAATCGCGATCGAGAGCGACAAGAAACATTCTCGACTGCAACCCGAAGCGAAAACGTGGGAACCTTCCGAATTTCGAGGGGCCGTGTTCGCCGGATGGATGCGAAATCCGCTCGGCTTCGATCCAAAGTCGATAAAGTCCATTTTATGCTGCGAGGAAGAATCTTTCGAAGATATGCGGCCTCCCGTTCCCCAGAGAATGGCGCCGGTGGGACGGCTCCGTTCCGATGGTTGCAGATAGACGGCGGCTGATGGATGCTCGAGAGATCGCATTCATGATGGAGCGGTTGTGTATAACAAGCAGGATGATGCAATCGCTGCCTTTCTGAGCGCAGGAAGCGTACGACGAACCCACAATCGCTCTCGTGCACTGGCCATTCTCGTTTTCCCTTACTTCCATATTCAGATTTGGCGAAATAGAAAACTCCACGAGGTGACTAAAACTTATTACGGGATTTGTTGGCATGCAAGTCCTATCCGTTCGCTTCAGAAATTTTTGTGTTTCGTCAGTCCACCCGCGCCAAGTAGTGCCGGCGCATTTCCCCAACCTCTCCAGAGGTGGCGCCGGGGAGAGACACGTCAGTTCCCAATTCCCTTCGGAGAAGAGAGGGCGCCCACCTCTCAATGGGTGGCGAGTTCCCTTTCCAGGAATGGACGCGTTGAGAAAACTCGGTCGCCCCACTTCTCCAGTGGTGGCGTCTGAGGGACGGTCACCTTGGCGCAACGGAAAGTCTATCAAAACGAACATAAAAATAAATAAGTAAATAAAAAACGATGGCCGATTGAGAGGCTACTCCCAACCGGCCGTCACAAACATTCACAAACCAATCCCGATGGGGGAAAAAAAATTGTGGCGACTTGCAAGTGGACGGAGGAGATCTAGACCGCGAAAAGAAAAACGGTGGCGAATAAATGTTGCATCGAACTCCCCAACCCCAACCCCTTTCCCCGGAGATGCGTTATCTGCCTTTCGTCCCGTTTCCGGGTCGATCCATGCTAATGCAGGCATATATCTCACCTCCGATTTCGAGGAAATTTTGTGGGTCCTGTGGGGAATGGGCCCTGCAAGCCCATTCAGAAACCAATCCTAAGCTAGGAAATCTTTGCTGAATTCCGGCTTCCTAGATCGAGTGCATTTTTTAGGCACTGCGATTTCAATATTGTCAGCAACAAAAAATACGTCGATTTCTAGTCAGGTGATCATGACTTAAGTGCCCATAAGTTTCGCTCTCAGTCAGGTAGCGGTATGAAATTAGTGTATTTTTCACGCTCTTCTAATGCTCTTGTCATATTAATTTAATGGTGTTTATATACGAAATTAAAAAGGCGAAAGGTTAGCTGAAGCATTCTTAAAATAAAGCAATCAATGAGATACGAAACGTTATCGAATGGAAGTCAAATCACAATTATAAAAGTAACAATTTTCATCGGGGGAGCTGGAACTGGTTCGACTTCAGAGTATTATAATCACCTCTTTGAAAATGATTTTTTTTTGGCATGCAGTTTTGTAACTGCCGAGCCATCTCAATTGACGAGCGTGTAACACCCCCGATCAGTATAGCTACGTGATTTTGGAACACGAACGGGCTCCCCGATGAGCACGCACGCGATCCATCACGACAGGCGAAATGCCATCATGAGTCGATCCACTCTTGGAGGGCGGAGTTATTACCCCTCCCCCCTCCCCCCTCCCCCTATCCTGAAGGTCGTTTCGCACTTAGCGTGTCATGCGTTTTTTGCATGGATGCTCGGGCAGGCGGGCAGAAGCACGCGTGCACACGCATGTCCCCGAGCTTCACAGGACGCAAGGCATGCATTTTTCAATCGAGCTCATCCCGATTCCACACGCAAGCCCTGCGTTTCGTGAAAACTCTTGAATGATGGACACGCGTGTGGACATGGCATGTGCACGCGTGCTTCTGCCTGCCTCCCCCAGCATCCACGAGAAGGACGCATGACATGCTAAGTGTGGAACGACCTTCATGATGTTCCTCCTGTAAAGATGGTTCCTTCTTTGAGGCCTCAAATAAATAATTACGAGATTCAGGGATGGTGATAAATGACTCATGGTACAAAATCGAGCCCAAATTGGGCTCGATCGGAGATCCTGCACAAGTTTTCTTTTTCTGAACAAGATTAGAGAGAATGTTTCTCGTTCCGGACGCGTACGTGACCCCCACGAGGGAATACTTCAAGTGCTATTGCTAAAAAAAAAAAAAACTTAAAAAATGATAAATCGAGAGTAACCTTTCCGTGCAATCCTAGCTCTTTTTTATTTCCTCCAGTAAGGAAACGGATGATTGGCACGATGAGGCCTTCCCCTAAGTCTTCAGAGATGGCACCTGTGGGGTAGCGCGTTTCCTCCGTTCCTCCAGAGTTGGCGCTAGCAGAACAGTTTCATATATCTATCCATAAATGGTACCTGACGGACCGGAACAAAAAATAAGCTTTCGTCATTATCCCACTCAGCGTACCAACAAATCTTGGCAGCCGTTTTGTTTCTGACAACTGCTTTAAGGGGCAAAGTAAGAGAAAGCTTTCATCTCAAACCAGGAATGATTTGAATGAGGACACGACCATGCAAATTCACTGCAGCCTCTTTTAAGCCTCAAACCCGTGTGTAACAGACGTGACAGTCAGACGTGACGATGCATATACTGTCACTGACCGTTACAGTCACATCTGTTATGCTTCTGCACAGAGAGTATATCGATCGCACTCTTAAATTACTCCCTCACATAGTAGGTTTAGCAAGTTTATAACATGCAGCGCCAAGATACTAGAGTTACAAAACATTCGACAGATCAATGGAATTGGAAGAAACTGTTACGGACGTCACGGCCTATGGTGACTGTTTCCCTTCAGCTATATCTCGCAAACTCAATCCCATCTGCTTCTATTCCATATGAAGAGAGACGTCACAGTTGAGTGTCTCGGGGAATGTCATCAGATAGGCCAAAAAACTATCCAATAGAACCACGTAGAGATTGATAACATGGGGAATTCTTATAAGCTCGTGGGCCTTAAGGTGTACTCATTATTATTCAACTGTAACTTTTGTCCAGGCATAACAGGACACTTGAAATCCCCGGACATCCTTGACTGGCAAAAACGATAACCTTTCAGTTGATAATTGCTCTCAGGAGTCAGGAGTCAGGAGAGTTAGTGATATCAAGAGGCGATTTCGCCCATTGCCGTACGTGATCCATCACGACAGGCGAAATGCCATCTTCCTGAGTCGTTCCACTTCCGAGATCCAGGAGATGAGTTTGCCAATTTTTTTTTCTCTTAAAGCTAAATATTTTTGTATTTTTGTTTTGTTTTGTTTTTTTTTCTTTACTATCCTAGTTGCTTATTGTCTAGTACCTACGTCAACATTGCCCATTGTCAACATTGGACATTCTCGTGTCCTCTTCTCATGGAAGTGACTAAGAGCAACTCGAGCAGGGCAATGGTGGCACCATCTATCGCATGCCGAAGGAGACATTCGTGTGCGTCGCGACGTCATCTGCTTGTAGATGTTCACTCTTCGTCCAGCCGGTGAGGACAAGCCCCACACCGCACGTCCTACCCCTTCCATTCTGGTATTCGCGGGGTGGACAAGGGGTGATCACCATTTTCATCTTTCTCTGTCTTTCTTCCTTTTTTAAAAATTATCTTCTCCTGCTGCACGACTTCCTCGAAGAGGGGCAGGGGGCATGCTCGCTCTTGGTTCATCAAAGCCCAAAATGAGCTGGATGGCTGGCGATCGTTAAGTCAACTGCAGAGTCATCTGGATCCCTCTCATTAGTCCCATTCCTTCGTTTGGCATACCTTCCTGCTTTCACCTCATCGCTTAACCATCTTTCATCCATCCTTGGACGAGTGAAGGGGGAATGCGAAAGATGTGGATAGAACAGTTAAGACCTTGTGATCGTTAGCTGACGATCGTTAAAAGATAATAAATGTATGTTCACACGCATCTATGATCACAGTGTGAACTACTGGTCAGTCTGTCTGAAGTTGGCGGCTGTAATCGCTTCGTCCAATCATCCATTTCCTTACGGGAGGAGATAGAAAAGGGCAAGTATTGAACAGGAAGGTTACTTTCAATGTTTCATTTTCTTCTTATTTACCAAAAATACTTGAAGCATTCCCGCGTGGGTCACTTTCGCGTCCGATACGAGAAAACATTTCTCTCTATAATATTCTTCAGAAAAAGAAAACTCCTACTGGATAACAGATCAAACACGATTCGGAATCATTAGTCGTTTGGCACCATGCCTGAATCTCGTAATTAAATCTTATATCTTTGAGGCTTCAGCGGAGGAACCAGAACAGCTTTAAGAGAAAAAAAAATTGGCAAACTCATCTCCTGGATCTCGGAAGTGGAACGACTCAAGAAGATGGCATTTCGCCTGTCGTGATGGATCACGTACGGCACGTGTTCATTAGGAACTCGCTCATGTTCCAAGTTCACGTAGTTTTACAGATCAGGGGTGTTACACGCCCGTCAATGAAGAAATTTCTGTCACGTCTTTGAAAATGAGATTTGTGCCTTTATTGTTACCGTCCAGTCCGGGTTCGATCATTTGTGGGCCCGGAAGCACGTGAGCGTCGTTCTCATTCAATTACGCGAATGATAACCGTTTCCTAGCTGTGACCCGGTCCCTGAAACATCGCAATCCGTTTCCTATTTTCTCAATCATCGCACTTACCCCTCATCCGTGGGGTAAGTTTAATTTCTAGGTACTCCTCTCAGAGAGAAGGAAGGGGGGGGGGGGCAACGCCGAACCAGGGTCGCCAGACGGGCGCGACACCGAGTGAGGGTCACTAGGAGGGGGAGCGCAGCGTAAAAAGTTTGAGAACCGCTGTATTAACACCCTTTGACTGCCAAGGCTTTAAATGCCCACTCAACCTCTCCTTGCCAAGCACAGCGGTGGAGGTTCGTCATGCCGAACATGACATATGGCGTGAACGGCAATAAAAGTGTTAAGATCACTCAACTACTTCTTAATGTTACTTTTGGTGATCAGGGTGTGTTCAAGTGAGACAATGGCTAAACTGCCCAAGTAAGATGTCTTTCACAAATATATGATTCATTCTTGTATAAAAAGAATAAGAGATCATGGTCACTAGTCTGAAAATGACAAAAATGGCTACAAAACGTTATACAACAAATCGGGTAAAAGATGCGACTGGACGGCAGAAAACTCATCACAACGGGTATGGGAGATTCAGCGATGCTTGCAGCATTCATAATAAGGCACGGAGCATAAATGAGGTAATGGACGGAAGGATGATCACCGATAGGATCGGTGGGAGAACGGAGCGACCTGCTCGGCAGTTCACTGTGCGCATGGCCTGCAAAGCAAACGATACCTCATCAGTCACCTGTGGCGTTTACTCCAACACTCTTGACAGAAAATAATATAACACTATCAACAACAGAGAAATTAAATCACAAGGAGAATATGCAAAGACCTTCTGCGATATAGAATAAATGTTCTGTTGCATATTTCAGGTTTCCGAATGCAAGCAAATACTGTCAATTAATTTGCATGCTCTGGAAACTTCGTGCAATCAGGACTGATTCAGTCCAATGGTATCCCTTTGAAATTTTCTGCAAAGCCATGCTGCAACCAGTGGCATAGCGAGGGGGGGCTGTAGTTCCCCACAAACTCTGACCTAAATGCATTTGTCACCTTCCTCTTCTCCCCCAAATTATTTCTGGATATCTTAGAATATGAAAATTCTAGCCACCCCCTCCCATTCCCTCTAGTACCTCTTTGGTGAATACCTGGCAACACCACTGGCAACCACAATAGGATACAAAGCATCTTATAATCTGATCCCAACTATGCAGGAAAAGTAACAATCTATGCATCGAAATTGACAACTCATGACCCTCTCTTTTGTACATGGCCATTGTCTGTATTTCCTGCACAAGGAGGGCAACACATAGTACTTTCTACTTCTTCACTTTTCCATTCCATTGCTTCCCACTGGCTATGGCCCTCTCTACACAAGTACAACAGTCTGCACAGGCATAATTGACATTAGCTTGTCTTTTTCATTGCAAGGATAACAATGAATTCAGGATTCCCATGCATTTTTGCTCCAATTGATTGTACTGAGCTACAACTGTTGCAGTGGATGGAATGCCACTCTTCTCTAGTCGTGTGTTGCCTCAATATTGCAGTTGGTGGCAAAGGCTACATTTCAATTTCAAGAAACAAGTCAAATGATGGCAAACTCATCACATGATGTCACTCATCATCTATCTTGCTCCCATCAAGCTGTATTAAGAAGGGTGGGAGAGAATGAAACTTACATGCAGGAACTCTTCACCCAGGAAAGATTCATAATCTCTTTCTTCTTCAGGTACAACTACCAATTGCTGGGTAGCATCTTGGAATATCAGGTCAGCATATGGCTCCTCAGATGAGAACATCTTGAAGCTGATATATTGAAAAAGCTTCCTTTATACATCAGGCATCAGGGTGACTCTGAACAGGAAGTAGGTGAGGCAATCAATCTTACCTGAAGTCATCTCCAAACTTCAATCCATAAAAGGATTGTGCATAGATAAAGAGATTAAGAAAAGCATCAACTTGTGTCTGGTTAAAGGCACTGCCACCTCTGGTGATGACAGCATTTCCTTTCACTTTCCCCAAATTACAGTGCTCATACTCTTGCACTGGAACTCTTTTCCCTAGCAAAAAATGCAGATGTAAAGAAGGCCAGATTTCCAGTATTCAGGATCTGGATACTTTTTTCAACATTTCATCCTCAGTGCTTACCATTTCTACATAACAGCTGGAAGTCGGTGTTGATCTGATTCCGAGCCCAGAACTGACGCCTTTTCCCATCAGTATTCTCCAAGACAGTGGTGTGCTTCACAAATGCAACATTCCCACCACCTTCCACTAAGCACCGGAATGCACCTGTAACATTTGTTTAAATAACTCTTTACAGGCATCAAGAAGGTAGATAATAAGTTTGAATAGGACAAGCAGACAGGGCATACAAGGAATTTTTTAAACAATGAGAACGCCTTGCTCCTGCCTGCAATCATTGAAAGAACTTTTTTTTCTTGGGTGGTAGTTTGAACACTGGGAAAAATGAAACATATCTCATAATTATATTTCTGTTCATATGTTTCATATAATTTTCAATGAATTTTAGCAAAAACCAGAGGGGCAGAGATTAAAAAGAAATAAGATATATCGGCCTAATTGCAATCACATCTGGCCAATCCATTGTAGATGAAATCCACTTCATCTACCAACCCTATGGTTCAAGAATGGTTCACATGCAAAATTAGGAGCCATCAAAGAACATGTTCTTCCTTCTTCCACCTTGCAGATGGATGCTAGAGATTTGGTTCAGCCCAACTTAGGAGTAGTTGAACTGAAAGAGTAGGGTGAAAAACCCAGATGAAGAAGGGTTTGAAAGATCTGGATAAGAAAAAGTGAAGATATAAATGATGGACAAAAGGGGGCTAGATTTCAGTCACCATGCCAAGGAAGGATCACCTAATTATCACTTCTACACCAAAACTTTCCAACTGGACATGCCTTCAGAAAATTTAATTTTTTCAAGAGTAGTTGTACCTGAATAAGTTTCACTGAGAAAGCATTTATGACTTTTCCCTATATACAAAGGTACCTTCCCTGTGACTACACAAGCAATTAGACCACTATGAGATATAGGTCTTTCATGAGAAGCAACTCTCAGTCATGGGGCTTGCAAGAGGATTTCTTGCAAGTAGGATTCTTCTCCACCTACTGGAGCACATGAGAATGACACTTCCTTCCTTTAGCGAAGCACCTGCAATGATTCTATTCCCTTATTGGCAACAATAAACAAAAAAAAAAACCCACAATGACCTTTGAACTTGAACCCACTGGAAACTATTGATATTTTCAGCACAAATGGGAATTCAGAAGTCAATTACCTTTCTTACAATTGACAATATGACATTGACAGTCAGTGCAGACCTGTATGCTACAGAGGCAATCAAACTTTTAAGAAAATGATACATATAATAGGTCTACCTGTACTTTGGCTCAATGAAGGTAGCATTTCAGTATTTCAAGTAAAATGGGATATTTTGTTGCCAGATGCAAGGTGCTTACTTGGAAAAAGTGGATTTTACTTGAATTGCCATCTATACCCATATACCACCTGGAATGAAACCAAAGGATCTTATATGTTCCACTTTTTCTGTAGGCATGGAACAGATGCATACCTGCTATATGATTCATCCAATTTCATCCACCTTTGACTTGCCATCCTAGGCCAAACAAGTTTTAGAACTTGTCTATGAATGGTTTACTCATGTAAACTTTCAGAAATTGCATTCCATGGCACAGCCAAGGAACAAGAATGCAGCTCTACTCATGTCCAAAGCAGAATTAGTCACATTGTGTGGACATGATTTTCAAGCATCCCATTTTTGAGCTAATGGTTACTTATTATGGGTTTATTATGATTATTAAATTATTAGATTATAGGTTACTTACGCGCTTACAATGACACAATATGTCATTGCCAATGACACAATATGTCATTGCCAATGACAAGAATTTCTATAGAGTATACACTGTTATGGGGTGTTTATGCATGTATGGGACAAAATGGGAGAAAATAGCATTCAGGTAGGTTCTAGCATTTGCCAAATGACTGACCTGTATGTCCAAAGAAATCTTCAGATGGATCTCTTGAGCAGAAAGCATGACTTGCTCCATGACAGAGATCACATAAATTGTTCCAAGTTTTACCTGAAAGCAAAGAGATATACATATCAAGGCCTACCATCACCTTGAAACACTCTTCACAACTCTGAGATCAAAATATGTTCAAGAACTGAGACTTTTTATTCCCATGCTAAAAGTGCTAATCAAAGAGTATGCCTCAGTCTTATGCACACATCAAGTTGATAAGTTAGGGTAAGCCTCCCAATAACCCTTCATCGATCAAACACAAACAACTTTTTTAAATTACCTCCAGAGATCTCATCTTGGCATTGCCTCACAGTTTAACTCTCAACAATAACCCTATAGTGAAGTGACTTGAGGGAAGGAGAAAAGGAAAACTGGCACTTTCAATGGTGCTGCCCTCTTCCCCCCTTCATCAGGCATTTGGCAAGTTCTCTCTGCACTGCCTCATCTCATGACCTCAAAACTTGCTTGATTTTTCTGCACATCTTTAAATTTTCTAGCCAAGTTTCATCAGTAAAAACCTTCTAGGTCACAGTTTCAGGCAATTATTATGACCCCATAGCTGCTACTGAAATTGGATTGTTTGACAAGTTTTCTCTATGAATATTCATGCCACACCCTTGAAACTCTAAAATTGCTTTTCATGGTATACTAGTGCAAGCTTATGTACCAAATTTAATTAGGATCACTCAATTTCTTCTTTATTTTGGCAATGAGTATATTTAAAAAACAACCAGATCATTCAGCAACCGTACATATTGTGTTCTTTTCATTCTACCATAGAATTTTGCATATCAGATCATTCAATGAGTAAAAAAAAACTCTCCCAGAAAAACAATAGATTCTCTTTCATTCTGTCAACAGTCTACAGAGATTGTATTCAAACAGAGGGATCATAAAGAACTTATCCTACTTTAAGCCTGTAACTACCAGAACTCAGACAGTTGAATGCTTAATTGTTTTTTCATCCATTCATTACCAAAGAATCTCTTCAGAATCTTTTGCATAATTGCTATCACATGTAAAAAAATGCAGGGAGTATTGGACTTCACAAATTTATGACAGCCTAAACAAATGGCTAAATTTTTGTATCAGGGTCCATTGGACTCAGAATGGTAGTTGCAGGGTTAAAATACTGATGGAGTTATGCTCTCATTATTCAGAGTTTGTAGTAGTGCTGGTGTATGTCACACCTTGTGAGGTATCATACATTTCATAATTTCATCCCCCCAGTCTACTAGAGACAAAGAAAAGGGTGCTCACCAAAGTTGTAGTCACTGGATGAAACACCAGGTACACAAGACTTTGAGAAGAATTCAGCAGCAGCTCGAATGGAATCACAGCCATAGGGACGGATCCTGTCATTATTGATGAGGTATGCCATTGGAAGAACCCAGCCAGCCGCATGCATGATTCCCGAATGGCAAGTGTATCTCCCTGTAATTAAGCCCCATTTCTTAGTATTTTCCTACATTCTTGGATAACAAAAAATGACTAACACTGAGCCAGCACATACATGAAAAGATAGAATAAAATAAAGCCCACAATCAGAAATACGCATGACTTACAAGAAAACATTAGGCTCCCAAGTTCTTAATCCTCCCTAGCATAATACCAACATAGTGAAATTATATTGTTGCAGATTGGTAATACCCAACTTTGCCAAGTGAACCTGAAAGGCAGTGGAATCCTAAGGATCCTCAAATTGTATTAGGAATACCTTCTTCATTTTTATAGTCTGCTAGCAGATTTACCTAGTGTTGCACAGGTGAATATTGTATACATCCCATATTTGAGAGTTTAATATTGTTTTAATGCCTCTTTGGCAAACCTGGCTATAAATTGTTTAAAATATGTAGCTTTTACTACACAACCAATTGAAAAATTCCAGTAGCAAGTTGTATGTTACAATGTAAATTTCTTTAATGAGCCCTCAAAATTTTGACTCCTTGGGGGGTCTGCTATAGTGAATCAGCCAAATCAGCACTGAATAAGGTACTATGGGGAGTCCAAATTTTGAAATGCCACCTATCCTATGACCATCCCCAGACCAAATAAGGAAGTCATGCAAAGTTTGGTCAGACTGGGATCAGAGGCATGGCTGTGCATAAAGGGCAGCCAGACAGACACACAAACAATATGAAATACTAGCAGAGGTACCCAATGTTGCACGGGTGAATATTTATACGTCTCATATTTGTCTGCACTAAATAAAGTACCCCAGGGCAGGGCCAGATTTAGGGGCAGACAACCCAAGCGACCACCTGTGGTGCCATTTGATCTAGGGCTAGCCCTGCCCCAAGGGGGTCCGAATTTTGAAACACCACCTAGCCTATGACCATCCCCAGACCAAATGAGGAAGCCATGCTAAGTTTGGTTGGACAGGGATCAGAGGCATGACCATGCATAAAGGTCAGACAAACACTCTGAAATATAGTATGGATTTCTTTCTATATGATCAAATGATAGTCACTCAGCAACAAGACACCAACATCAACATGACTTTACACTTCTAATCCAACAGCTCTGATGCAAACATGTATAAGGTACTTAAATAAATAAAAAAAAGGAACCAGCAAAAGGGACATGCTTGCACTTCATAACTTACTTCATAAGTTGCTGGATTTGCTTAGGAAAAAATGAGAATTATTCCACATTTAACCATTTACCATGGCTATAAAAAAAAAAGGATAACTACAGTCTGTAAGATTTCAAAAATACCATGAGAAAATTGAGAGAGAGAGGTCACATTAGCATTATTTGTAATGACTTTGTGATAACATGACTAATCATTTCATCATATACATGTCTATATCATCCTTTTTAACCCTTTTGCTGTGGAAGGTGGCAGTGTGCCACGCACATGTTAAGTCACTTTGATGGAGGGTGACTGTGTGCCACCTTGCAAGCAAACAGAACTAGAGCTTCCATAAATGTGACATATGGGCTTCATTCTCTCAAAATCATATTGATAACATAATACAGTGAATACAGTGAGTATTATATTGCTGCCTTTAGCTTATTCAATAAGTACACACATGTTATATCCAATAAACACACATTTGCCATACAATGTGCATTTAGGTGGTATTAATTTTAATATGGTCCAAAATAACATGGGTCTGTATCAAAGAGACAAGCACTATTTCTCTTTCCAAAGTGAAGGGTTAAGAAAGAAGACTTCTAGGACTTCTCTTCATTTATACTTTCTCTTTTTGTGCATTGTTGTTCATCCCATGAGATAACAAAAGCAGCATCCTACACCAGAAAGTCCCAATCAAAATTGTTTTATGGGAGCAATGATTAAATAACAAGGAAGGGAAATTCTTTGTGATTTTCCAAATAAATCCAGAAAATTCCATGTAGGTCTAGTATGGTTCTATTTGCAACAAGATATCATCATGTGTTCTTGCTGCTTGTTCCATCAGCTCAGCAAAATCTTCTCAAGATGCAATTAATTTGTAACTAATAAAAAAAAATTTCCCCTTAATTCTGCATATAAAATCCCAAAACTGAAAGGCAAAAACCATTCTACCAATTTATATTTGTAGATATGGTAATGAAAAAAAATTAATTTCACCATGCAGTAGAAGGATCATGGAAACAGTGCAGGCAGTGCAGCACAGATCACTATCTCATGGTATAAAGAAAAAAATAAAGACTCCAAGAAAGTGATTACCCCCCATAATTCCCCCTCCCCTATTCCATTAGGAAAGATGTTTTTGCTAATGCTGTGACTCACCTTTCAAGTAGAGTATATCAGTGTCTGGATCTTCTTCCCAGGTCACTGCAACTGCATAGTATTCGGGAGTGTCCAAGTTGTATTGCTCAACCAGAACTGGAATGAGTTCATAGTTTTTTCCAGCTGTGTAAACATCACCAGCATCGACCACTGCAACATCAGCTTCACTGTATTAAAAAGATACATGATGACAATCTATGCTCCTTTGGAAACAACAATGCTGGCTTTCAATCCCATCAAACTGTCAGTCTCACCTCCTAGCAATGGCTTTCATACAGTCAACACTGTCATGTCCTTTGAAGCATGAAAGCTCAGGCTGCAGTAACTGTGCTCGTAGTGCTGTCTGCAATGAAGACCACAAGTTTAGGGTTGTTCATATTACTTCCAGAGTTAGAAGAGAGAAAAAAGGAGATGTACTTCAGCCACTCACCATCATTCGAATGCACTTTGAGAGTTCATGGTCTGAGACAACACATAGTCTCATTGAGGGGACAGGACAATGCCTCACTCTCAGAATGTGGTCAAGTGAGTCCTTCAGGTAGTCCTTATAACTTTGTTGAGGAACTGGAATCCTCAGGAACTTTCTTGTTTTATCCTGATTTTGGAGAAAGTAAAATATGGTTAAGGACTTTTCCTCATTCCAGGGAATGTCCAACAATCCCAAAAAACTTTTTTTCTTCTTCAGAACTTCCATAGTTGGGCTTCCTCACTGAATGACAGTAACTACATGCAAAAGTCTTGCCATGTTTTAATCCAAGATGCCCATATTGAGCAATAACTTGCATCAAACACATGCTTTATGCAAGGTTTCTTGGATTAAGCTCCCCTTTGGAACCAGGTCAGCTTTGCCTATCCTTGTACAATATGATCCATTTATATGACTATTCTCCTCCCACTCCAAGTAGATAGAGATGTTATTGGTACTCTCTCAGTATTCTATGCATTTCATCACTACTCAGTTTAGCTAAAATGAAATTTTGAATGAAGCTTTCTCACATCTGGAAGGCAAAATAACACTGCAGTGTACTTTTTTATTTTCCTTCTTAATGGAACCATGAAGGAATGGCTTCCATCTCCCAATATTTCAATGAATTGCTCCCGAACCTTTTGCTGATTTTCCTTTTGTCCAATTAGTTTTTTGAGACTAGATATAGATTCTCTTTTGAATTTATTCAATAGAGGAAGCTTGTCAAATCTATTGCATGTCATCAATCAAAATGCTAAGCATCTCCTTTGTAAGACTCGTGAAATTCCCAATGAAGGGTTGTGTACAATGCACTCCTTTCAATTGAAATTCCAATTCTAAAAGGTGAGGAGAATTGTCATTCTATCAAGATATGACAATTCTCTAAAAGAAACTAAAACTCACCAGAAGAAACCACAGCTAGTGTAGTCCTCCTTTCCTCAAATTTTTATCACAAAGCATTAAAAACAAGAAAATGCTCAACCATGGCATCCTTAATGTATTTAGAGTGAGGATTGGTGATCATGGAAAGGGAAGTCTTACCTTATAGCTACAAGAATTTTCAAAAGGTTGTACATGCAATGGAAACTTGAAAAGACTGACAATTGAATGTGAAGATTTTTGAGATAGCAATAGTTGTTACCCTGCCTTCAGGAGAGATTTTGAGTAATAAAAAAAAACTATAAATGAAATTAAAACAAAAAATTTAACACTTGAACACCAGATCTTTCTCTCTTCCACCTCTCCATTGAGACACCTCAAATGAAAACTAACTCACTTCAAATAAGAGGTTGTGCTTCTTGTTGTATCGATAAGCAGAAGAAAATAGGTCAAACGGGTGGCGGCCAGTTAATGGATCTATACGGTCAGGAGTATCTGTTCTCAGGAGCCTAGCTGCTTCCTGTGAGGAGAGAGTGAAACACCACATTTCATAATGATTGAAAACCCAGTAAATAATTATCCCTGCCCATATAGGACATAAGATGCAAGCTTTGTTTTCATACGATCTAGCTTGAAACAGTTTCACACAATGGATGGCCATTAACCCAGCCTTAACAGGGAGGTACACTGGTCAAACTTGGTCAAACAAGATTCTTAGGATGACATGCCAGAATCAAATTATAGCACTTCAGAGAGCACAAAATGAAAATTAATATGTACTGCTTCCTTGAATCTAAAAACTATAGTGAACCTTAAAGACAATGTTCCCTTAAGCAGGGTTCCCCACACAAGTCTCCCAACATCCTTTTGCTGCACTGACATGCTCCCTCATTATGGATTAGGCCTGCACCTACAACCCCCTTAGGCTGGGCCCAGAAAGGTTAGCATGAATGAGTTTCCTCCCTTCAGCTTAGCTCACCCCTCAATGCATTTTCATCTGCCATGGGAAGGAGGGGGCAACAGAGAAAACAAAGAAAAAAAAAAGCAAAAGGAAAACCCAAACAGGAGGGATTTCTACCAGTGAACCCCCCCCTTTTGACCCACAGCCAGCAGCCCCCTCTATATCCTTGCAAACTCTATAACTATGCCTCTTGCAGTGGTGGTTTGCCTGCTTCAAGAATTTCCTGTGGGGAACCCTGGCTTATATGTAGGCCTCCTACCAAGGTCAAAATATGACACACCTGAAATCCTCACTCAAGACACTGAACAGTTTTGGAGTTCTGATTGGAGCCTCCTTGTGGCATTTTTCATAAGCATATGGAGAGATACCTTGTAAAGTAGTTGTGGTACACATCATAACTCAGTGGGTTTCTATTCAAATGGTGGAAGCTTCAATATTTCTCAAATTGACACCAGATCAGGTATGACACATACAGGATTCATACTGATGATGACAAAACTCAGGAAACATAAAGTTTCAGTAGTACTTGCCTCCAAGAAATCCTGATATCCATTTCTTTGATCAAGAGTTTTGGCAGAGGTGGTGACAATGGCAGGAGTGGGAACTTGTCCCCAGTTGCACATGTGGTATGCTGATAGGTTTGCTCGTGTCCCATCAGTGCAGAGTAGTTCATAATCTGACAAACTCACTCCTATGGGAAAGAACAAACACAAGTAGGAGTCACATCATAGTCACACACATCTGGGTCCTCCTGGCCTAGGAGAATAGGTAAGATAGGTATTTCCTGCCACTTTGTATATGTTTTACCAGTTCCATGAGATTCTGAAGCATTTTAAACTTGAAAATGAAAGAGTTGAAGGAATCACTCAAAATGGAGAGCAAGTTCTTGGTATTACTGAATCTAACACATCATGACCTTGAAAACAAGGGAAGTATATCTACCTATATATATATCTTCCACAATTAATGAATATCATGAAATGACAATAAGTTAGCTGTTGGTTCACCAACAGGGAATCCAAATCCCAAAGATGGAGATTCGATATAGCAGCACCTGGAAGATTAACATTTGGATAATTATTATTCCAAAGATATTGGCCTAAAGTCAGATTATCATGACAATAAAAAGAGCTGAAAGACTCTACTCTCCCAATTGCCATTTCAAACACTGGTTAGCAGTTTCAGCTAATGGTGCCATGATGCTTCTCACTAAGCAACCTGAATAATGCACATTTGCTTTGATCAATGAATGAGATTAACTTCTAGAATCATTTCTCCTTGAATTATTCAACAAATACGGTGTTTTTCACTTGAGTCAAACAATTTTTCACTTGACTAAGACAATCGTGCATGGAACAGTTCTCATTCATGAGTGTCAAAGTAAAGGGGGAAAATGTCTGATTCAAGTGAAAAGCAATGAAGATGCAATTACAATGTGCTGCTCTGGGTCTACCAACATGAAAATTCAATATACAACAGGATGTATGGTTCTATACAGCCATAAATTATTGTATTTATCATACAATCTCTTTTGTATTTACCATATACCACCATATACATATTCACATATTATTGATTGGATGGGGTATAATTTTTATTCTATATTTACATGTGTTATCTAACTCAATCAAAGGTCATTTGCAAGTTTTGAGGATAAACCTGAAAGTGGTGCTATTTTGCATATCTTTGAATAGCGATCAATGATACTTGGAGCACCTTTCATAAAGGGATTTTTTTAGAAGATAAGATTTTCCTGAGGAGGTTCTCCACCAGTCTCCTTCATCACATCTTGGCAAGAGATAGACCATGTTAGTTTTGTGATGTTACAATACAGTGGGTGGGTCCAACTTCACAAAAAAGACTGCAGATTTGAGCATTTCAGACAACATCCTATCCAATCCCCATGTCAGTTTTTGCTAAAGCTTTTAGCAGATTCATTAGATTTTGACCCATCTAGCAAAAATGGCGATTTTTTTTGAGACAGCTGAAACACATTAACAAGTATAACAGGCTAATGGCATCATGTCTGATAATGTGGTGAATATCTGCAGACAAGATCTAAGGTTGTTAGCAAACATAGCATTTGGTTGTAACACATTGACCTTTAGATATCTCAAAAGTTAATTTTCAATGCATCCATTAAATCAGGGGTGCTCAACATATGGCCCGAGAGGCCCTTGCTTGTGGCCCATCAAACCCTGGTGGCATTGTAAATGCTACTATGGCTACTACACTGTTGGCTACAGCTACGGTCAGCCAGACTGCTGCCAACAGCAGGTGAGTAAACATCGAAAATTGCCTTCACAGTATTTTGAGTTGTGCATTCTTGCATTATATCATATATGAAATATTAGCTGAAATGTACAAGCTTTAAATTAGTTTCCCAAAAGGTCTTAAATTTCAGATTTGTCCATTAGAGTTCCTTGGCAGAATTCCCCTAATGTGGCAACTGCATAAACTGCATTACACCATCAGTACTTGCAGATTAGTTGAAGTCTGCAACCACACTGTTCACTATGCCAAGGTGGTTGAATGCATAGAACTGACTGCCATGAGTAGGTTCTTTTAACTTAAAATCAGATCCTGGTCACAAGATCAGGTTCGGATTCTCTGGATGTTCAATTAGCTCCTAGCCCCTTCCTGGGAGGTTTATACTAAGAATATATATATCCATACATGAAATTTTCATATGGGTATTACCAAAGCTGATAACATATACTTACCAGGAGTTGAAGTCATCATCATATGATCACAACTACACTGAACATGTATCAAGAGACATCTATTACATATAGAGAGGATTTAGGAAGTGGTGTCTGCTAATATACATATAATATGCTAATATACTAAACCAATAATGAATCCCATTAATGCAGTATGAACTCAATTTGAAACCCTTGTACATGCCAATAACACATGGATGGGAAAATCCTAGTAATTACTCTCTAAGAACAAACAACTGACCACTTTCAGGAACTTCTGCAACAAGCTCCACAGTTGAATGCTTGAGGAATGCAATGTCTCCTTTATCTCGAAGACACTGAAGAGCCCCTTCATAGCCAGCAAATGGATCTCCTGAGGAGCAGTATTGCCCATGTCCTTCTCCAGACTCAGCACAGATCTCACACAATTTGTTGGAATTGTCACCTAGCAAGATTCAGATGATAATAGCCTTATTATACCCAATAATATATGAAAATGAGTTTTTTTTTTCTATCATTCATCCAGAGACAATATGGTTTTTGGTTTCAGGCTAACTTTTAACATTGCTTTTGAATCTTATGATACTGTGCTGCAAAGGACACGGTTCTTTCTAGATGATACAGTTATAGATAAAGTTAAGAAGTGAAAGGAGACAAAATTCAACAAGGAGAAATTCAATTACCTAATTACAAAACATTAAGCCTGTAAGGTACTCACATAAAATCAGAAAGCATACAGTAGCAAGGAAGAACACATCTGCTCCAAAGTTCTGAAAGGAACATCTAAGAATGCCTACATGAAATTCTATGAAAAGCATGCAAGAACCATGATGGCATAGCTCCAAAGGATATGACAATATTCAAATATTTGTATCCTATCCCTGCTGAGATACTATAACCAATATTGAGGGAACAATTCTTCAATAAAACTTGCAACATGAACCTGAACATGTGATTCAGAATTCCAAAAATCTGGGTATCCCTTCATATTTTGCCACTCTTACACCAAGTCTCACATGATAATTTTCATTGACATCACTGGTTCAATAATTTCCAATGAATGTACAATAAATATACCTAAAAATGATATCAGCTTCCCTTTCTATTGTTTTTTATTTACTTAAATGTATTCTAAAGGTACTTTTTAAGCTATAATACATCATCCGCCTGTGCAGCAACCAAGGCTGATTCATTAAATAATTGTAAAAAGATGGTTCTGTTAGGCTAAAGTCTTTAGAAGACTTGGACTAGGCCTAAAGAACATAATCCATACCAAATGCTGGATATAGCCAAGAATGTACTTCTGATATGAATGATTCTCTTACGCAAATCTTTCCCAAGAAATTAATACTCCAAATCATACTCTTTGTATTTTTTCCTTCCTTTCAGCTTCTCTCCTCCTAAGGCTTTAGTTCACAAGAATATACACTCTAAAACTACTACTAACAGGATGGATGACAACTCCCAGTGGGCAATGGGCTTCTTCCTCATCATGAACAAAGAAACCATATGCATGGGAATTAAATAAGGTAGTAAAATTGCAAAAATCTGTTCTGCATTTGCCAATAAACAGATAAAGCAATTGGGCACTCACCTAAGGGGTTGAATTTATCATCCAGAGCATTTACTGCACAACTTGTTCCAAAAAATTCACTGGCAGACTTCACATGGTTGTTACAATCCACAATCTCTAGCACTCTTCTATCCATAAGGATGGAGATGGGCAATGACCAGCTGGCAAGAGATCCAACTCCAGCAAAACAAGCTTTCTTATCCCTCAAATCATGAAGCGTATGGACATCTCGTAAATCTCCACGCTTGACCACAGCCACAGCATAAAAATGGTCAATATCACCTGTCAGAAGGGAAAAAAGACAAAACATTACATCACTCCAGGAAGATATTGTTAAGGGATGCCATTAAAAGGGTCTCACTTGGTTTGATTTATGTCATGACTGTTGTCAGAGCTGGCATATTGCTTTTAAAAGGTGTCTAGATCTAGTTAGTATGCTGATGACATATAATGATTTAGGAGTAAACATTTTGCTGGGAATAGAACTACTTACTATTTATTACAAATAACACTCCAAGCTCATAATAGTAACTAGTTACTTTTTTACTTCAAAACTAACTTCATGCAGAACCTGACTTTATCTTGGTGCAGTTTGATTTTTAATTAAAGCTTACAACCTCTACAGAGTCAACCCTCTGTTGGATATGCTGTACCATGCAGAGACTGTGGTTTCCAGCATAAAGCTCTACATTGTGGAAGGACCCAAAACACCAAAAAAGGAAAAGGGAAAAGGAAATAACTTGTTGTAGAACAGAAATGAGTTATAATAAATACATTTTTCCACAAAAACAAAATGTTATTCTCATCAGAATTTGGTGCAGAATGTTATTCATTATTACTCAAATTTCTTGAAATCCTGATCAATTGAGAAGCACTACAGAGAGTAACTTCTCATTCACACTTATCTCATTACAGTACATCCCATCCCAATCACATCACAATCTCATTAAAAATATCTAAAATTATTGCCATGCATCTTGAGGAAGTAATTTCTCATGATGGCTTACCTTGCATTAACTCTTGCATGATTGGAACAAGGCTCATGTAACGGCCACCAAGAAACACTTCACCTGGATCTAGTGAAACCAAATCTGCTATGCCTTGATCCAAGTACTCCATGCATTCCTCCTTGCTGACGGCCTGCAAATGAGAACCCGCCATTGATGAGTAATGTTAAACAATTATTTAAGTTAAAAAAACACATTGGAAGTTCATTATTTACCATTAAGTACTCTTTGGTGACATTGCAAGCAATTGGATTCAACAGCTGCTTCAAGTAGCAGATATCATATGAATATTGTTAATTGACCTAAACTGTGAGCTGGTAACCAGAAATAAGATTGCAATGAATCTGGACATCAAAGTACACATGATCAGTGGGTCCTCATCTGCTTTCAAGATATGTAGCAAGGAAAATGAAGAAAGTAAAATTCTTAGTGCAAAGAAAAAATCTATGACTGCTCATAATTTGAATTAGACCATGAACTCAAACCTAAATCTCCCTAACTCTGTCATATCATAATTTTTTTAAATTGAAAATGGTCTACTGTTTTATCAATGCTATTTTGATCAAGAATCACTTTCATTATAATAATCTGAACCTTACATTAAAGTATGCATGCATCCATTATCATCACCTCCCATATATCACTTGAACTCTCTTGTATATAATTCCCAACACTACAATGCACTAGCTTTCAGAATTGACAGGGCTCTTGTTTGGAATCTACTTGTGGGATATAAGGCAACAAAATCATTTATGGCCTTTCTTCAACCTTATTAAAGCTCCTTTTTTAATTACTGGGGCATGCATGAAGAAATCTATGTCTATGCTATGCTCTGTTAAGACTGCCTAGTAGAGTTTCTATTTCAGGAAAAATTACATCAAGAAATAAGTTAGTGCATTCAGAGCCACATTGAGCAATTTCTCAAGCATGTGCTTCACAGCAATCCCTAGTTCCTGGTTACATTCAAATGCCAGTCAATGGCTCCTTCACTGCCACCATAAATCAGCAAATGTATGCCTATGGTAGGATTGAGGAAAGACTAGGCAGTACTGCAACTTACCCTTTGACAACCAATTTTGTAGGAAAAACGAGGCTTGTTCCAAGTTATCCGAGATGCAAAGAAATCAGAAAATTTCTCTTGCACAGCTTTGGCTAAATCTTGACATTTTTCCTGTTCTTCATCAGAGATTGTACACCATGTCAGTTCCTCCTCTTCCCCTGTGTACATAATGATGGAAAATTGACTGGGCTCTATTAGCATTGCACATGTAAGGACTAATCAATGAGGATATTGTCTCAAGGTCATGATCTAGTCACAAGCAAAAAACAATATTCCTCTAGCTTCATATGGGCTCTGTGATTCCAATCTGTGCCATAGGTTTTTCCATCATGTTCCTGATTCAGACTTAAAGGAATGGTAATATCATAATCATATACAGGGTGTACAATGATGGATATAAATTAATACAACTTTTTTAACTAGATACCAACATCTATGATTTTTAACAAGATCTATATGTTCCTTTAAGTCTGAAGTTTTAAGAAATCTCTTGCTGACAGAAATATCAATGTGCACTTGGAAGCCCACTCTGAATGCTCCCATCGGAAAGTTCAAGTGCACTTAAAATTGCCAAAATCATCAAACCACAGCCAAACCAAACTTGATGCTCTCTGATCCTGTGGTATTTAAAGGGCATGTCAACAGCATTTACACTAGCAGCTATAATGAATAGCTGTCAAAATCTTTTAGTTCCTCAGTAAACCAACATGTGGCAGTTAGCATTTCTGCCTTGAGTATGCAAATGACAACGCTTGACAACATTTTGTGTCAACAGGTAGAGATTTCCTAAAACTTCAGATCTCAAGGTACACACTAACATAAAAACGAAGAATTTACATATTCTGTTGAAAAATGTGTCAATCAAATGAAACCCTGCATTTTCTCTCAGACATTCTTTATTTATGGTTGATGATATCAATCTTTTTGAAGCTAATGTTACACAACCCTAACCAGGAACAGGACATGGACCAGAGGAATGGGTAGATTTGTCTCAACACCTGACCTCTTAAGACTTCATCCTCAAGAGATACTTCCAGACTCCATGCTATAGAGTTATTGAAAACTCTATAATTTGTGATCTGAATTATTTGCAACCCCAAGCAGCATATTGGACAGAATCTTCATAGCTTTGCAACACAAATGTGGAAATAAGAATGTCAAACGTGACATTCAAATAAGACCAGTAACTGCTTTCGACTTTTGGTTATTATTAACCCTTCACAATGCAGCCCACACTTTTTCATGTGATATCAGATTATTTCCTGTCTCACTCTCAGGGTCTCATCTCAGTTCTCAAGGATGAAGGGAAGATCTTTCTCTGAACTTTGTTTAACCATTAGGTAATCAGATAGATTACATCCATTATCAGTCAATGAATTACCAGGATATTGATATCTCACTTTGAATTAAGAGTTGAATCTTCTGTTCAAGAATAATTTGGGAAAAGGTTCTTTATTTCCACATGAAGTGCTGATTTTTTTTTTTTACAGCTGATTAATAAATAAGATTTTGAAACAATATACTAAGTTCTTGGGTTCTGTAAAAGCATCTAATAACATATTTGGTTGGAGCTGGACTTATATTCTGAGGAAGCTGTCATGCAGGCCAGTACTGTGTCAACCCCATCCAGTTTCAAGAATGAGACAAATCTCAATAATCAATGTAAATCACTATTAAGGTTAATACACAGAATGGATCAACATATTATGCCTTCACACAACTTCATTTTACAGTAATCAGTCATTGCATAAAAGGGCATAAAATGCAAAGAACATGACAAAGGCAGGACATGATCATGCTGGAAAGTGATTACACTCCTCTGTAGTGTCAGTGTGAATTGCTCATGGTCACAATCTTTATAGAAGCAATCCATTATGGCCACAACCAATCCACATAGCAACTAGGCCTACTAACAATTACAATGATTCCCATATGAAATCAACCCCAGGTATGTGCTAATATGGCCTGATATGCTGGATTGCATGCTATACAGTGCCTATACCTTACAGCCACCAGTCGTGCGGTATAGACACTGTCAGACATAAAATGTACTGGTTTGGAAAGGGAAGGGTACAGTGGTTTCTTTTTTCAGCTGAACTTCATCCACGATAATCAATCTGCAGGGCATGCAGTCCTAGGCTTAAAAGAAAACGAGTAAAAAGGCAGTCTTCATAGGATGATCTGGCTTAATGCTAACTCCAGGAATTAGCCAGAGGTCATGAGACACCAATGTCATTTGTGAAATCATCAGCTAATAAAAGTGGAACATCTTTTTTGCAACATGCTTTCTGTATACCAAATTAGCATCGTGAGGTCTTTCAACAATTCAAACAAGACCCATTATGAAAATTGTTCTGTTCTTTTTTCATGGTTATTTATGTGATAGTATACCTAACCTGGACTATCATGACTACATTCAGCACAGTGCATTAACTACTGAGCAATCATATTCTTTCTAAATAAAATAATAATTATGGTTAAAATCAATAGCAGTCAGTGGCGTATTTTGGCTGAGGGGTCGGGGGGGGCAGGGCAACAGCACAGGGGTGCCATACCCTACCTTAGCCATATCAGGTGGGGAAATTATGAGGGGCATACCAAAAGTATTGAGACTCTGGCTATAATTTTCTTAATGTGTTTGCTACAAAAATCTAATCTAGTTTCCTTCAATGTGTAACAATTGTGTAACAACAAATATGCAATGCACACTGAGAAGTACAAGTTGCTCTCTCTTATGATTAACCAAATACAGGCAGTGAAAGGAACACATGCACCAGAAATTACAGATGCAACAACACATTCAGTCATCTTGTGGATCATCATGAACCTTCTCCACGTTGTCCCCTTGGACTGAACTGATGATGCCTGAACTGCAGATTGATAACACATTGAAGGAAACTGGATTAGATTTTTCATGGCAAACACATTAAGAAAATTATAGCCAGAGTCTCAATTTTTTTTGGTACACCCTTCGTATTACCTCCAAGGGGGCGCCAGGGGTGGTGGCTGCCCCTCTGCCCCCCCGATAAAATACACCACTGATAGCAGTAATATACCTGACATTCTTGGAAATCCTATTAAATCTGACACTTTAAAACAGAGATCAGCCAGAGATTTATACTTACTCAAGAACTGCAAATAAACTGGTATGGTGCACCAAAATTGCCCCATCAAGATGATCATAACAATTTTGCCAATAGACAATGTCATTCAGGCTCTCTAATACATCCTTACTAGGTGTAACCCTGGATGGCTTATTTACAGTCCAAACTTTGAGGTTTCAGGATAGGATAGTTTTTTTTACTTGGAGAGTGGTGAACACGTGGAATGCATTAGATGATGAAGTAGTGGCTGCCCCTTCTGTGACTATCTTTAAGAAGAAACTAGATTCTTTCATGGACAGGCAAAAAGGTGGGGGGCAATGTTGACGTTAGGTACTAGACAGTAAGCAACTAGGATAGTCAAATAACAAAAAAAAAACAAAACAAAAATATTTAGCTTGAAGAAGGTTAGACCTACCCTAAAATTAAGGAATGCTCGACCTCGACACGTGATAACGAAATGGGCGAAATCGCCTCCTGAAATCACGAACTATCCTGAAATCCTGAAATCATCATAATCCACGAGGAATTCGACATTTAAGAAAGTTTTAAAATGTAATATGAAGACGAAAATTCATGAAATATCATCCTGGTTTTGATTTGTATGTAGAAAGATTGATTTGCGTGATCTGGAAAATTGGGGAAATGAGTAATTGAAGTCTGAAAAATGGGGTTATCAGAAGATTACTCTCTCATTAGGATAGGATAATATAGTTCAATCGTATTCCGAGCGGAATTGCATGCAATCGACCTGATTTGCAGAATCCTGCGTGACTGAATACCCAAGCATAGAAAACGCCACCGTGACATACGACAGATGGGACGGGAAATACCCAGCACCACCTGGTTCCCGCGTCATCTATACCTGCCCTCATTCCTCAAGGTTCAATGACGGGTCGGACATCCACAATGCCACCTGCCCCTTTCGGATCGATGACACCTGGGACAGCTCCTTTCACGACAGGCATGTTCGATGCCAAGGTAATTCACTTGACACACCGAAAATCCGTCAGTTTAACACGATTCCTGGCTCGGAGCAGCAAAGTTCGGTCGACGATTACGTTCAAGGTCGGTTGCGGGCCAGAATCTGGCCGATCGAGTTTCAACTCGAACAAGTCGACCAGGGCCTGCCTCCGACGTGCGCATAGAGACAGGAGAGCCCAGAAAAATATCGTTCGCAGCGTACTTTAAAGGATTTTTGACCCGATAAGTATCGCCTCCAAATGAATTTTAAAAGCATTAGGTGGGGTAAAAAGTCATTTAAAGATGCTTGTTCCCTATATGGAATCAATCGATACGTCAGTTGTTTCAGTCTGTCAGCAGTTTATTGTAACATTTAGTAATGCGAAAACTAATTTTGAAAAGTTTTACCCTTCTTCAACCTCACCCAAACCTGAACCAAGCCCTCACCCTCGTCAGCCCCCCTCCCCCACCTTCCCCCCTTCTCTAGGAACTCATTGACATCAGGCCCAGGCCTAACCGACGGACTGTATATGGATCAGGCCTATGCCTGTCGTTTTTGCTTTCAAAAGAAACTCAATCCTCGACCAATGGACCAATTTCGCCTATCAGAATTAATCCCTCGTCCTCGAGACATTTCCTTTGTGGACGTGAAACGTTAGGTCAATCGCATTCGCAATTAGTCTCTCTTGGCCGAATTAACGGAGAAAGTGTAAAGTGAGACCAAAAGGAGGTATTTTTCGAGGTTCACAAACCATTACAAAGCCGTCGGGGAAGTATTAGGGCCTATCTATAGTTCCTCGAGCCATCTCGACTAGCTCCGAGATGAAAGTACCTTTTTAAAGCATGATATACACGTGTGCTGCCATCATCTTAATTTAGCCATATCCAGATGAAATATATTCGTATTCCATCAAATCCATCGAACACTGAAAACCACCATTTCAATCTCAGCTCATCCCATGGATTCAGTAACATCAGGTCACCTCCAATAAAAGTAGAAGATGCAGAAAAAGATAGTAAGGCCGAAGAATTCATGAATCTAGCATATCTAAGGCAGGGTATCCGACAACACTGGAGGAGGGGACAGGAGCCATCGTGCTGGACCAAAATTAAATCGTAGCAAATAAAGCTGTCTTTTTGTCACCTCCAGGTCAGCATCTTTCAATCGGTTGTTTACTTTCTCCAAAACTTCCTAGGACTGCCTACCCAAAGCGGTTAAAAACAATAATAATGATGATATTAAAAAAAATATATATAAATATAAATATCCGAACGAATTTGACATCACCGAAAAGCGAGATTCGTGCGATCTCCACACTCCTGGGCTAATGGAGCTTCAAATTTGCTAGAGCGATTCTGTGATGACACAGGAAGAAGTATGCAACATTTGGTTCCTGTTGATTCTCTCCAAATGGAAGAAGAGACGGGTGAATTTTTTTCGTCGGAATAGGTTGAAGAAAGGTAATGGAACCTACCACGCCCATAGATGAGTGTGAGGTGAAGTAAACATGGAGAAATGACAAGATGGGGTGTGAATAACATACCTTTTCTTGTCTGGATTTTCAAAGAATTCAGAACTATGGAAAGAAGGCAACAGAAGATGCATGGAGAGGGAGAGAGAGAGATGTTATGAAGAGGTTTTGGTAACGTCTATTACCTTTCGTCAACTCCTTCCCTTAGCAAAATTTAACCTAATCGTATTCATCTCCAAGCATCAACATAAAGGGAAGGATGGTCCCGAAAATAATGGGATTTAGGTCGTTAACGCCAATTCAATGAATTAGCCTCCAGCTCATTATTTGAAACGGTGTCCTTTGCAAAAAAAACAATTACACGTTTGCTTTCATCTGAAGGGATTGAAAAAGTTAGGTTAGGATAGGTTACGTTAGATTTGGTTATGTTATGATTGTTATTTTGCATTTGCAAAAACACATTTTCGCATTTGCATTTCCAAAAATTCCTTTTTCATCCGAACACATACTTCAAACTGTTTTGAGTGAAGGAAATTTCTGACTATCAAGAAAAATTCAAAATGAAAATACATACGTGAATGGTATTTTGAAAACATTGTAATCTATCATTCCATCATTTCCTTTGTTATAATGAGCCATACATTCCAACATTTCCCCTCTATTCTGCAAGTCCCAGCTAAGATTCGCCAATAACTTCGGAAATGATGTTCTATATATTGGGAATACTATTTTCCTGTCCTCTTTAACAGGTTGACCGCCACCGCTGTAATGACATATTCACTCTCCTACGCCGACGCCATTTTATATACGTAGGAGACTCGTTAACAGCATACTTCCATCATACCATGCTATTTGCAATTTTAAATGGTCTTTTGCGGACTTTTTGTGAGGCGTACCGGTGTGCCTCATGGCGACTTTGAATGCAATATGGTTTATCATGCCACGAGGGCCAATGGTGGGCCTCACAGTTTTGTCACACCATTGGGCCATTCACTAAGTCTGTCTCGATTGAATTGAATTTCGGGCACCGCGCCTTTGACGCTGCCCGTTTCGCAGCTGTTTGAGACGTCACGCGTTTGAGTTATTCCCCAGATTGTACACTGTTCGAAAAAATTATGGTACTTTTTTCATTTTAACCCAAATTTTAGCTAAAAAAGACCCTGAAAGGACACCAATTCGATGATGTCGAAACCATTTGAAGAAATTCGAAGAAGCAGCATGTGGTCATCCCAAAAAGTGCTTTCGAAAAATGTTTTAGAGTGGCGGGATAGTTGGCCAAAGTGTGTGACTTCAGAAGGTGGGTACTTACAGGGAGATAACGCCCTAACCCTGTAAGTACCATATTCTGTCTGTAATTGCACCAGTCCGGATACTTTATGAACAGACCTCGTTGTTCACTTTCCTGGACCACGACCTCACAAAACCACTGCAGCACTGAGGCGCACTGCTGAAGCCTGATGCGCGAAAAAGGAAAAAAGGTGGGGCGCACCTGTGTGGCTTAGGGCCGCCAACCTGTTAAGGGGTTTTTATGGGGTTACAAACATAATTTTTCCCCACATGCATGTTACACTGAATTGTACAGGAGATAGCGAATCGATTGATACCACATACCTCATTAATAGAAGAATTCAAATGACTTTTGAATCAGAATGTATTTTTCCCTCTCGTCTTACGACTCGAACATCTTAACCGATTGGTTCAGGTCCACATTCGTTAAAATGAATCTGATGACAGTTGAATTCTTTGGATGCTTTTGCAGATGCCAAAGTGACTTATGCACACTACTATATCATTACAGTGGGAGTTGTGGAATGCCGAATGACGACAATGGGGATGGAGTACAGAGGGACCCGCAGCCATTCACAAACTGGAAAAGAATGCAGGAATTGGAAAGATAACTACTTTTCCCCCTCTATCACGACTTTCCGTGACGACGAGCGCATTTTTTCCTCCCCCAACGATCAGTACTTGGAGGTTTTGATTACACATCTGGACCAAAACTATTGCCGGAATCCAACAATGTTAGCGCGGCCATGGTGTTTCGTTTGGGATTGGGACGTTGCATGGGAATACTGCGACATCCCCTTCTGCCCCGGTCGCAAAGGTCTGCGATGCTTTTGTCTCCGAGGATACTGCAATGGGTGATGAAAATATTCCGTACGCTTTTTTTAAATCTAATATACCAGGCATTTCATTTAAATTTTACATATTTGAACACTCAATATCTCTGGGAGGACACAACAGATCTTGATGAAAATTGACCAAAAAGTGAGACGCACAAAGCGCAAGGACGGGACAGCAATTGGCACGAAGCCAGGCGATTCCTTCAGGGTCCGCATTGTTCAGTTTCATAAGGCCACCGGGAAGACCATTACGGACAGCACAGCCAGGCAGTATATGGGCAGGGTCCTCGATCGCACCACAGCAACAGTTTGGATTGTCAAGGAGGACGCACTTGTTGTCTGTGTCGGCGCAACGGTCGTATCGCAGCGAAAACGGTTGATGTTAGCCCATAGGTATTGAGGCA